TATCTCTGTTTCTCCCTCCCCTCCCGGACCCTGCCAACTCCATACCTTAACTCCCTTGTAGAGGATCTGTCCCAATTCCCTTCTTAGGATTATGGGACTTTAGAGGTCAGTAAGTCCAAACTCCTTCATTAAAAAAAAGAAGAAGAAGAAAAAAGGAACCCAAGGCTAAGGGAGATTAAGGGTCATACAGCCTAGGGCTACATGACTAGTAAGTGCCAGAGGTGGGATTTGAATCCAGGCCTTGCTAACTAACTTCAAGGCCAGCACTCTATCCACTACACTTCATTACATTGACCCTTTACCTCGAATGCTAAGATTTGTAGTTTTAGAGGGAGCCAGGCTACATACTTTTCTCCTAGGGGTGGGACTGGTCCACAAAGCATAGGCTGATGCTCTTTCTTACAGGCCCTGAATGGGAGCAAGAGAATACTGCTTCCCTGACCCCTGGCAGCTTCCAAGGCTGGGCCACGGCTTGACAGGGAGCAGAGCAAAGCTAAGGGAGGTCCAGGGAACCCCTGGGATCTTTGGTCATTTGGTTCCTGCGTCTCAGACAGTGCAACAGGGAGCACCAGACAGCTGTGCCTCGGGGACTCTGAGTATGTGTTTGTCTGGGTAAAGATGTCTGGATGAATTACAGAGGCATCCCAGAAGTTCCATAGTGCCTTTCCTGCCTTCATTCCCCATATCACTGCACACCTTCCCTTCTAGACCAGGAGTCTCCAAAGTGGCGGCCAGGAGCCCCTAAGTGTGTAATCAACTGTCTGTGGGGTTAGAAGACAGGTGATAGTCAATCAAGGGGCCGACTCCAATACAATTGCACCTTTCCTTTACCTCCTACATGGCCCATTACTCCCTCCACCCCCACCTCAAACTCTCAACCATCCCCTTCTGCGCTTGACACCCTTCCCCCAGCATAACCACCAATATTTTGATTAATGAGGGTACAATCAAAGGAATTCAAAGACCACTACTCCAGGCTTTCATACCTGGTTTCTGACTCATAAAATCATAGATTTAGAGCTAGACAAGATCATCAAAGCTTATCTAATGTACTGCCCTACACTCTTTGTCAGTTGAAGAAACTGAGGCCCAGAGAAGTTGTGACTTGCCAAGGTCAGACTCCAAATCAAGCACAGATAGAATGATCTCTAGGTGATGCAGTGGATAGAGCACTGGGCCCAGAGTAAGGAAGACTCATCTCAACTCCAGCTTCAGACGCTTAGTAGCTGTGTGACCCTGGGCAAGTCACTTAACCCAATTTGCCTTGGCTTTCTCATCTGTAAAATGAGATGGAGAAGGAAATGGCAAATCACTCCAGGATCTTTGCTGAGAAAACCCCAAATGGGGTCAAGGAGAGTTGGATGGAACTGAAAACTTAACAACAAATCCTTATTTTCTGGTGACTCATTGCTCTTTCCCCAGAATTCTGAGGGGAGTAGCTCAGTTTATTTGGGACTCTATAGCTGTGTCTGAGGTGGTGGGGTGGGGAGTAGGGAATAATTTATGCTAATAGGATGTAGTGTACCAAGTGCAACGTTCTCACCTTTTTGCTATAAACAGCCCTCTTTCTAGCCTTTGCCGTGCAGCCTTCTAACGTTAGGGCAGGCGGGGTTTGCTTGTTAGTCTCTGATTTTTTTTTTCATCTGCCACCCTAATATTCATCATAAGTGAGAGACATTAAATATGTCTATTTCCCATAGAACAGAGAGATGGGACTCCTCTTCCCTGTGGACAATGATTCCTTCCAAATAGGGTTTTGTTATGGACAGTGGCTTCAATTGGAGAAGATGGATTTAGGTCAGCTTGAAGCAAGAACTTTTTAGGATTGAGGATTATAGGACACTGAAATGGGTGACTAAGGGAGATTGTGACATCCTTTTTCCTTAGTCATCTTAAAGAAATAAGTTGTTTCACCATCCATCTGGAATGGGTTAGGTGTGATCTGGCTTGGAAGCAGCGTAGCCTAGGAGAGACAACTATTATGTCACAGAAAAACACCCAGATCTGGAGTCAGGAGACCTGGATTCATATCTTAGCTGTGATGGCCTCTGTGTGACCATAAGCAAGTCCATCAACCTCTCAGTTTCCTCATCTGCAAAATGGAAAGAGTAATTCTTTACTACCTATTTTGAAGTGTTGATATCAAGGAAAAGCTTTGTAAGTCTTTTAATGATAAACAGAATGATAAGTGGGTTGGGACCATTTAAAATCCCTCAGACTTCCAGAGTTCTGGGACACAGGTTGATACTGTAGTGATGCCTAGTGAGTGGGGCTATGAGAACAATGTGATGATGATGATGATAACAATAGCTAAACACTTATCTAGCACTTTAAGTTTTGCAAGGACTTTATATATTTATCTTATTTGATCCTCACAACAATCCTGTGAGGCAGATGCTGTTATTGTCTCCATTTTACATATGGGGAAATTGAGGCTGAGAGAGGTTAAGTGATTTGCCCAAGATAACATCTCTAGTAAGTTACCAAGGTAGGATTTGAACTCAGATTTTACTGACTCCAAGTTCATCCCTCTATCTTTAGCTGGATCTAAGCCCGGAGGTCTGGATAGAGCCCATCTGAGAAATGCAAGCACGGACAAGCACTCCTGGCATCAACATAGCTTATGTATTCACCAAAATCCTGGAGACTGACTTGCCAGCTCTGTGGTTGGAGCCATCAGAATAATAGCAATATCTTCCCATAAGAACATATGAGCAGCAAAACCTAAGGCATCCCTCCTGTGGCCTGGGGTTGAGGTTGGTGACTCCATCTCATTTGTCTTTCTGCTTTAAAAGCCAGGGCAGGAAGGAGGGTGAGGCTTGAGCTGCCTGCTTTGTGAAGTGTGAGAACTCCTAATGGGAGACCATTAGGTCCTGGGTATGGTCCTAAGGGTGAGGGTTAGATCACCATTTCAATGATGTGGATTCTGGACCATAGAAGCTCCCTAGAACACTGATTTCTCACTGTTGGCCCTGTTTGCATCAGGGGCTGGGCTAGTCATCAGAAGGTGCACCCTCCTTCAGCCACTTTGCTCTCAAAGCTGCTGAGAGGCTCAGGCAGCAGCTGAGCCTATTAATGTGTGCATGGGTAAATCCATCAGACCCACCCTTCACTGCCCAGCCTCCTCACCCCGAGTCTGTGAATCCCAAAGAAGAGACATCATGGACAGAAAGTGAAGGTGGGGGAGGGACAATGTTTGGTGATCAATTCCTCTCTTTTGCAGTTCCTGCATGAGCCACTACCTGCATCCCCACCCCAGGATGAAGGGGTTGCCCTGCCCCATCAATTAGCCAATTGCAAGTAGCCAATTGCAGCCCTTCAGGACAGCCCCTGCCTTGCATCAGTGGCCTCTGCCTCTTCTCTGGGGATCTAAGGCTCTGTCTCTCAGCAGAGCTGTGTGTAATGAAATTGGCCTTGATTAAGTCAGAGGAAAAGCAATGAAGTTCAGAGGCTGAAACTCAGGTACAGTGGAAAGAGCGCTGGGCCTCAAGTCAAGGCTCAGATTGCTGACCTGCCTTTCCTGAAGCTCCAACTAAAATCCCACCTTCAAAGGGAAGCCTTCCCCAACCTCTCTTAATTCCTGTGCTTAATTCCTCCATTAATTATTTCCTATTTATCTTGTTTAGCTTGCTCTGTACATATTTGTTTACATGTTGTCTCTCCCACTACACTGTAAGTTCCTTGAGGGCAGGGACAGTCTTTTGCCTCTTTTTGTATCCATAGAGCTTAGCACAGTGCCTGGCACACAGTAGGCACTTAATACACATTTATTGAATTGAATTGAAGTATTAGTCCTGCGATTCACTAGTCATGTGACCTTGGGCAAGTTATTTCACCTTAGTGCTTGATCTACAAAACGGAAATATTAATATTTGTACTACTTTCCTCCCATGGTGGTTTTAAAGAGAACACTTTGTAAATTATAGAGTTCTATATGGATGTTGGCTGTTATATGTGCTCATCTGAAGTAAGAAAATGTCCTCAGCTTTTGGTCTGGAATGACCTTCCATGTTAGCCCACAGATCTTACTTTGTTCTGGACCTGTCTAACCATATATTAATAGCTAGCCTTGATTATGGCATATATTATATCTTACATAGTACATTTCATCTACTACACAGTATATTATATATTATGGAGTATATTATGTATTACATGTATATATATGTATATATACATACATGCATACACACACACATCTCTACACAGATAAGCATTCTCTAACTGGACATCTAATTCTCTTTCCATTATAGCATAGCTGCCTTTCAGGAAGTAGCAAAAAGGTCAGAAAGAACAGCAGGAGAAAGAACATGTCTAGGAACATTCCATAGCTACTGATTCCATAACTCCCAGGGGACAGAGCTTACCCTTAAACTCATTCCTTCCACCCAGATGGTACCAAGATGGCAGCTTGAAGTTCTACTAGCTATCATCCCTTCCTCCATCCCTGGATCAATGCTGCCATGAGGGACTGTCTCCACACAGCTAACCCCTTCTCTTTTTCTGCTTCAAACTTGAGCCATAGTTGAGGTTTTTTTGTAAGGGGAGAGAAAAAGATTGCAACCTAAACAGAGGGCACAGGAAGGATTCAAGCACTCAATCGTTAAATGACTGGCCAAACTGATCCACCTAACCTGAGCCGGTTTCTGCCAAATCCCTTGCAGGAGTCTGATGGGAGGCTTGGAAAGGAAAGCATCATACGGCTTTCTCTCCTGGGGTGGTTGTCACATCTTGTGGTGCCATGGTTTCTGAATCTTAACTGTGTTACTAGCAGCCGTGGGATTAGCCAAGTCCTGAATGTTCCACAAAAATGAGGAGGCTGCAAAGGGGAAGTATACTTCTCCTCATGTTGCAGAGGAAGGAAGATGAAGCCCAAGAAAGTGAAGGCTGCATGGTGGTTTAATGGGGGGAAATGGGAGCCCAGTCTTGATCCCCATTACTCTTTTGAAGGGGGTAAGAGTATGAGAAGAGAAAAATGGTGGAGAAGGACGCAGACCTACCTCCAGGTAGACGACCCAGGGCATGACTAGCGTGGCCAAAAGGAGGTCAGCCACAGCAAGGCTGACGATTAGGTAGTTGGTGGTGGTTTGGAGTGCCTTCTCTCGAGACACAGCCATGCACACCAGCACATTACCGAAGATGATGACGAAGATGAGCAGGGTGAGCAGCATGGCATAGTAGTTGTAGTGGGGCTTGTCTGCTTTTGCCTCGGACCCATTCAAGGACTGGGACCAATTCTGGCCATCCAGGTCGTCATCATACCAGGACAGGTTCAAGGGATCCATGGGAGCAATGGAGCCACTGGCCAGCTGCACTCTGTTCCTAAAAAGAGACACAGGGAGTGAGCTGGGGGCTGGAGGATGAGGTGGGGTAGTATTGGGGTCAGACAGCACATGGGGTCTTGTCCATGATGGGAGAGGGGAAAAACAGGGTTCTTCCTGTTCAACAACAGTGTGGCCCAAGTGTTACTGGGGGAGTGAAGTGGATTAACCTAGTTTGCCTCACAGAATCCTCTTCATGAATATCAGGCTCTGAAGAATCAGAGCCACATGAATATCTTGTGTCAACGGAAGACCATCAGTACCACAAATGGATAATTTCTATTACCATTCACTAAATGAACCAGAAATTGTTAACACTTAATAGATGCTCAGCACTGAGCTCTAGGCACTCTGGAGGTAAGGAGTATACAAGAATCGGTAAGACATAATTCCTGCTCTTAAGGCAACTGCAGTTTACTTGAGAAGATGACATTTACACATGAAAATGTAATATATGTCACCGCTCTTCCTCTAACCCCCATAACTCTGAGCTCATAGGGACTAGATCTAATCATGGAGACTGACCCAAGAAGGTCATTTTCCTTTTTTTTGGCTTGGTGCTACCCCTGGTGTTTACACTGGCAAAAAACATCTTTGAATATAGCTGGTGTCTAGTTTGACACAGATGGAGGTTAAAGGTGTCCCCAGCTCTAATGCAATCACTAAAGGGAACAAATGCAAATTGAATATGGCGTGACCTTTTCTTAACTCAGGAGGACTCAGGAAAAATGTTGTCAGGTCTGGCCATGTCAATCCAATCCAATCAATCAATCAGTAGAATTTATTAAATACTTACTCTGGACCAGCAACAGTGCTAGGTGCTAGGGATACAGATAACAAGAATGAAATAATTTCTATTTGCAGGGAGTTTACATTCTAATGTGGGAGACAAGTAATATAGAAATGTGTACTGCATAATTATCAACTGAATGTGTTTCTTGCTGCTTCTAAGATAGAAATTCCTCTGTTGGGCACTTAAAAGTCCCTCATAATCTAGTTCCAACCTGTTTTTCTAGGCTGATTATATATAACTTCCCCTAATTTGATCTCCATTCCTAACAAAATGGCTTATTTGTTGTTCCCTGTACATGACATCCCATTTCCTGCCTTTATATCTTTGTATAGGCAAATGCCTGAAATGCCCTCCACCTTCAGCTTCCACTTCCTGTAACCCCTAACTCCCTTCAAGGCTCAGCTCAAGCACCATTTCCAACAAGAGACCTTTTCCTATTCTCCAGCCCTTAATGGCTGTCCCCTGCCACAATACTTTGTGCTTTGTATCTGTCCTGTATTTCCTTATTGGTGTATTTGGCTTTTTCTTCCTTTCAGTAGAGTATAAGCTCCTTGAGTTCAGAGACTTTTGCTTTGTATCTCCATTGCTTAGTATGGTGCCTGGAATTCAGTTGGTGCTTAATAACTGCTTGTAGAATTAAACTGAAGGTGGCCAATTAACTTTGGCCCATCTGTCTGTAAGATTTGCCCTTATAGAACTGTTGGGACTTGTCTCCTTGAGGTTTTCTGTAGGTGAAGTGATCACAGAAAGATCTATGGCACAGAGTAGAAAGCTCTCACCCTAGAGCTCATGACTTGGGAAGCTCATTGCATAACTGGCAGCTATTTCCCTAAAGACTAAAGTTGAAGGATCCTGAGAGCTCATACAATAAGAACCCCGGTGTTAGAAGATGACCACAAAAGTCATCTACTTTAATCTACACCTGAACAAGAACTCTCTTCATATCTTTCAAACTTTATTTGAAGATTTATAGAAATGGGGAACTCACTCTGAAGAGAATACATTCCATTTCTATACAGCTGAAATTCCTCTCATTTTGAAGAGCAGAGAACTGTAGTTCAGACAGACAATTCCTTCAAGAACCAGTAAGTAGGCCATTTTGGCTGAAATGAAACGCACAAGAAGGTGGATGGCGGAGGTAAACCATGGTTGATATTTGGCAAAGCATGAGCAATGACAAAGGAGGGAAAGGTATTCAGGGGCAGAGGACAGTTTATAGCTTAACTGGTTAAAAGTCAAAATGATGATAAAGTCAAGACCACAGAGGGAAGAAAATGAGGCCAGATTAGGGGTGATGATGGATTGGGAGAATAGGAAGACATGGAGTGATTGGAGGTTGTGGTGAGTATGAGGAATGGATTTAGTAGATGTGGGACAAAGAATGAAAAGAAAAATCAGATATTGTGATCAGAGAGAAAAATTTCTGAACCACAGAGGTTGAACTTCTATGAGTGATAATAAGCTGAGATCTAAGGTATAAATGAAAGAATGAAGAAACCTATATTAAGGGTTTAGTATGGGCCAAACACTATGCTCACTGCCAGGGACACAAATACTAAAGCAAAGACAATCCCCATCCTCAACGAGCTTACATGCTGAAGGGAGAAACTACACAAAGGGGAGCAGGGGCCTAGGATAGGTACTTTCATGCTGAAAGGGAAGGGGATGGTGAAAGTGACCAGAGAGAAGTAAGTTGACATGCCCTATCCAGGAACAATGATAGAGATGATTTGATTCTGATTCATGGTTCCAAAATTGGGAAGAAGAAGGAGTGGGAGGAGGGAAGAAAATTGTATTTACCTAGCGACAAGTTGGTTGGCTAGGCTATATAGGAGGTAAATCGAAGCATGACCAAGCTTTTCCTGAAATAGTGGTCAAGAAGAGCAGTCACATTACCAGTCGAGACATGGGGATCTTGGGTTAACTTAAAAGGAGAAGATATTGCTGGGTGATGGCAGCAGAAGGAAGGCTTAAAATGGCAATTAGAAACAAAGAATATGCCTATGGTCCTCTTGAATTCCTGCATCAGACATTGCTGGGGAGGGTGGATAGGGATTCACTGTCTTCTGGGGGAGGCCAGGTTTCCATGACTGCGAGAAGGTGGAAGGAGTTAAGAGGAAGAAATCTAAGATAAGGGGGAAAGTGATTCCAGAAGACACAATGGAGACCCAGGGAGGAGTAGGACATGAACTCCAGAAGAGTAGAGCTGAAGTAAATGCGACTGTGACATAGCAGTGGTATCAGAAGAAAGGGATTTTCCCCTAGATTTGACAGCACCAAGAACTGGGCTTATGAGAAGAGGAAGTTGGAGTTTGTTAGCCATGGTTGAGGACATGCCATTTGACTGCAGCTCTTCCCTTGAACGGGTGCTCTGAGCATGGATGGGGGCTTTGGTTTGTCCTCTCAAAAATCAGTAGAAAAGGGTGAGGCATCTGGGTCAGGAAGTCCCTAGGTTACCTAAGCCTTTCAGGGGCCTGACAATTCACATTTAGCCTTAGGTTTTGTTTTTGCATTATCCCAAGATAAGTCAGAAGATTCCCTAAGTGGGAATCACTCTGCTGTTTGAAGCCTTACTCTGGATGAGGTCCTGGAAGTGAGGGGCCTGGTATCTGAAGCTCTAGTCCTGAGGCTGATAGACTTGATGGCTAACTGAAAGGTGGCACTAAAGTGCTGAGTCTGGAGTCAGGAAGACCTGAGTTCAAATCTGCCCTCAGACACTTACTAGCTGTGTGACCCTGGGCGGGTCATTTAACCTCTGTTTGCCTGTTTCCTCATTTGTAAAATGGGGGTAAATAACAGTACTTACCTCCCAAGGTTGCTGTGCCGATCAAATGAGATAATAATTGTAAAGCACTTAGCACAGTGCCTGGCACATAGTAAGCCCTATGCTAATGTTAGCTATTATTATTATGTCCAGGTGTATGTGAGTTATGGGGGACTGATAAAGTGTCTCTTTGTTCATGTGCACATCTGAAGCGGGACAGAGGAGGCAAATGCCAGTGGATCTCAGTTTCCCAATCCAGTCTCTGAACATTTGGGGGGAGTACAGAAGGGCTATATTGTTCTGATGATACAAGGTAGATATATAGCCTCTACAATGAAGCTAACTGGATTAAATCTCGGAAAGGGTGGGAATTATAACCCTACTGTGCTAGAATGAGTGAAGGAGAAGGAAGGAGTCAGTGATTCGGCAAGAACTTTATTGTTAAAGGACCTGGGGGCTTGGCGTTGTTACAGTGACTGGGGCAGAGTAGGTATAACCTCCAGGCAGGGAAGAGTAAGTCTGGGTCAGTAGATTCCAGATGAAAGAGACCCTGTGTAAGACTAGGATAAAAGACCAACTTTCCTGGTGCATGTGATGGAGAGACCAGGGAGTAGTAGGTGTTGGGACAGGAAGTCTAGGAATCAGTGAGATCAAAGGAGAGAATACATGTAAAGTGCTTTGCAAATGTTAATGTCCTACATAAATGCGAGTTATCATCATCATCTCATTCTTTTCATCTTCTTCAATGGACTTTAGCTAAAAACAATCCTATTATTTATCCCTGTTATTGTTATTATTGGCTATCATTCTCATCCTGTTCAATAAAGCTCTGATAAAAAGGATTCTGGGACAAATCGCTATCTGGGACAAGTTATTATTCTGGGGGTGGCCAGGCTTCCATGACTGCAAGAAGGTGGAAGTAGTTAAGAGGAAGAAATCTAAGATAAGGGGGAAAGTGATTCCAGAAGACACAATGGAGACCCAATATATTTAATATTCTATGGCTTATTGCATAGGTGGATAAAACCATTTCTTTTTCTGGTTAAATAAAGCATTAGGATGAAGGCTCACCTTCTATAGGCTCCCTGAAAGTATTCTTGGTACAAATCTGGGTTATACATCATTCTGGGGATGATATTATGTACCCTATCCTGTTTCCACATAATTTTAATTACTTCTGCTAGGGTTCTATTTTTTTAAGCTTTTAATTCCATACAGCCTAGAGATTATGATTATTTGGTATGGCAACATCTATAAAAATATTGTTCTTAATTTTTTTATGTCTTGGCAGGTAGGTGGTATAGTGGATAGAGTGCTGGATCTGGAGTAAAGAAGAACTGACAGAAAGACTGGCTGTGTGACCCTGGGCAAGTCATCTGTCTCAATTTCTTCATTGGTAAAATAATAGAACCTACCTCC